ATGCTTTTGGCATGCATGGATCACCCATCCAATTCCTCTTCACAGCATACGTTCCTTTGATTGCCACCATTGCATCGACTGATTGAACAACATGGCAGAACGAAACAAACATAAGATACTAACAACATTGAGAAGCAATGGATGACATTTATGTCACCGTTACCATTTCTGCTATCTGATGGCACAATCGTGTTCTGCATTGCAGAAAACACCTCCGCTGCGTTGAGGATGGGTGGAAGGGTGGAATCGCTTGTGGCAACAAGGGAGATGTAGTGAGTGGGTGCTGAAGTAGGGTTTGTGCTGTATACAGCGCTGGAAGAAAGGTAGTCCGGGGTGAAGGGTTTGGCATCATTCAGCAAGGTTCCTCCGAGGTAGACGAAGAACTGCCTCGATTCATTCTGGAGCAGTGGCTTCAGCTCGGAGAAGTGTAGGACTGCATAGTATTCATCGAGGTCTCCAGGTTCTGTTAGCAAACTGAGTTCCATTTTGTTGGAGTTCACAGGGACAACTGCAGTATTCATCACGACAAGAGGTACCTCAAAGTGATCATCCACAGGATTTTCGACTGGGAGATTAGTCGATGTCTTTGTCAAAGAGGTGTCGGCATATGGATTCCAGATGCGATCATGGGGATCGGAAGGAAACCTGTTATGTTATCAGGCGAAAAGAAAGATCAATCTCAAATGGATCAATAGCTATGCTTATGGATCTCATGTTACTGACCTCACGGGTTCACCTGTCAGCCCCATGTCAAACCGCGACGAGAGAATGAGACTGAGAGATGCGTTCACGACTGGATAAATAGTGCGGTTGAGCGGTCTCAGCTGTAGCGAAGAGATGAAGGGAGTTCCACGACCAGTGTTCACCAGGCAAACTGATATCAGATCGGTTGTGGCTTCCATGATAGTTTCTGTGTAATAACTCACCTTTCTACTGGTCACAGTCATCGTTTTCCAAAAGTTGACGTCAAGATGGAGATCAAACTGAACAGAAGAACTGTTTTTGGAATCATAATTGCCATATAAGAATGATGCTCTGATGAGATACTTAAGCCGTGGGGTCATTGATTTGAAGGTGTAGCAGTTCCGAGCTCCACTAGGGAAGCTTCTCACGGTGAGGAATCGCTGGGGGAGCTTTACTAATGCGTCTACTGAGGATATGTTATGAATCTCGCCGCTGTCTATGTAAGGAGCATCAGACACGTATGTTATACCGGATGATTGGTCCACGTAATATGCTTGAGCATCACGTCCATATCCACAATCAAGATAAATAAAACCTGGGAAGACATGTATGTAATGTTTTTGAGTCGAGAAGAGGCAGTTGAAAGAAGGAAAGGCGTGATAGTAATCGACACAGTTTCCAACATCAATATACATCAAGCTAGCCAATCATGAGCATCTATATATTCATTGAAATATATATATTATATTATGATACAGAAATATAAAATATGAAATATGTGTTTCCTCTAAGAGAGAAAAAAAATATATGGATACATTCAGCTCAGTTGTAAAATCAATCATTATTTAAATTATTTTCACGATTGCTATTTTATTTTTGTGGTTGCTCTTTGAGACAACAAAGTGTCAATATCTTAAATAATGGGCGATCACAATCAATCAGCCTCTTAGGTATGAAATCAATAGGTCAGTAGAGGAATTATTTTCCTAGATGGTGTGAAGACAATAATAATAATAATAATAATAATAATAATAATAATTGATAATAGAGGGATTATTTTCCTAGATAGTACAAACATAATTATTTGAAGATTATATTTTTATACCTATGCTATAGGGTGAAACTGTTCCTTCTATCAAATTTTTTGATAATAAAATCAACCGACCAATTATATTTTTGTTAAATCTATAATCACTGAATCTTTTGAACTATGATACTACTTTGTTGAGAAGAGAGAAAAAACTTTGAAATCAGATAAACTTTCAGGTAAATATCAAAAAGATGATATAATATTAATGTGGTTCGATAATTCCCTATTTATACCCACAAAGAAGATCAAATTCTTTACTATATAACAAAATCCAATATAAAAAATTATTTTCTCTTGATTTAACCCAAACCCATGATATATACTCTCATATAAACTTGAAAGAACTCTTTTTTCAATCCACTAAAAATACTTGGATCATCTAAAGTATCTTTGTTTGTGTCTCTCCCTATCGTTAGAACATTAAAACTTATGATCTATTCATACGAATAAATCTTAATTATTTAAGGATTATTCTTCTTATTACTTGGATCCTTAATACTCCAAAATATAATTAAAACTTCTAAGATAATAACCAACCCTAACACTCCACACATCAACCCAACAAAGGAAAATTTTATTAGATCGATGTATGAAAGGGCCTCTCGTAGATGATATTAGTTACAAATCCTATTTCTGTTGACCATGCTAATATTCTCCTCTAACTCTTGTGGATGATCTATGTTTCCTCGGACAGTCAGATCCTGTTTCACTACTGATATCTACAGGAAGATGTCTTATTTGTACAGTTCCTGTAAACAATTGCATGGAGAAAGCCTACTTTCAAAGAACATGGTCTGGAAAGAAGGTAAAGGGGAATCAAGATAGAATTACTTACCGAGACCGTCCGTAAACAGACCTCCAACCTGAACAGCGACCACGGAGAACAGAAGAAGAATCGAACATGGGATGACGGCCATGTTCCTCGAGCTTTTCAGCATCTCCTTCCCATGGACAGTTTCTTCATCTGGTGTAAGGTTTTGCCCACACAAGCCGCAGGCAGATGGATCAGTCAAACAGACACATAACGATGTCCCAAGTTAACAAATCCTAGGGGCATTTTACTGCAGCGACTCGTCCTAGGAGAGCCTAATAAGCTCTTCTGAGACACTAAAAGCCGAAGACTCGAATCACCTTTCTTTTATTTTCTTTTCTGTATCAGCTACTTCTCTTTCTTTCTTTCTTTCTGTCCCCCGTACTGTGACTATTCCGCAGGAAAATATACGAATATAATGGTGGCTTTTGAATTTGTTCGTTAAGTGGGTGGCAAGTATCATTCAGACTTTAAGAGTAAGGTTGGGTTGACTGACTTTTCATGACCGGCGTCATGAGCTCGATGAGACCCCGTCGTCAGTAAGCTTTATGGGTTGCAATCGAGTCAATATCACGCTTTAGAACGAGGAAGAGATTAGGGCTGCAAACTCAAAGTAGTTAACTACTGACAGCCGGTATTAAAACAACAGTAACATGCACAGATTGAAAAGAAAATATGGTTTCTTATTTGTTGTTGTTGTTGAAAAGTTCCTCCATGCATTTAGTTTTCCTAAATCTTATAGTCGCAGTGAGATATTTGACATTTATACATGGGAAAAGATGAAGCTGATACATACAATGAGAACTACATCCAAATCGAGCGCTCAATCTATTGACTCGTCAAATACCATTGTCAACACTAATCATTATCTGCAATAACTATTATGGAGGAAAACCTAATGTAATTTAGATCTTCGATATGGATCATCGGATGCTGATAAAACATTATTTTTTCTCTCTTTTTTTATTTTTTTCTTTGTGCTTTAATATAAGAAAAGTACATTTCACCCTTAGAAATAAACAATTGTTATTTTTCTCTTTATATTTAAATACCATAATGACCCAAACTTCAAAATTATCATCAACCCTAATAAGACAAAGAAATATAAGGAAGCAAGAGTCGAGGAAGAGATTAGAGCACAGATAAAACCCTCCCTCACAGTCGAAGAGGCACCAAAAGGACCCCTCACCTCATGCCGCGAGATAGTTGTCCTCACTAGAATCCACCTCGAAACAACGCGAGATCTTTATCGCACCATTAAACCTATATCAATAACAATTGGATTCGGGCCCATCCTCAACAAGCTAAAGTCTCTAAAGCCCATGAGGTTGCATGAGTCTTGAGGCCCAAAGAACCCTTCACCAGGTGAGAAAAGCCCTGCTACAATTAGGGCTAATAGGCACGGAGCTTGCCATGACTAACACACCCCATTAAAACCAAGTGTCATGTGCCTCGTCCAGGTGATGACCGAAAGCCGCCACAATAGATTAATACTCCTGCTACGACGGTCGAGCCAAAACCTACTATGATGAAAGTCACCACGACAGATCAATACTCCCACAACAGCGATCAAGCCAAGGCCCGCCATAGCTGAGCATCAAAACCAACGCCCCCTCTTTTGGGAGCAATAGAAGGAGAGCTAGACGTCTGCCTTCTTGAAGCGAAAGGGGGGGACGGTGATAAATGAAGAAGAAACAACCTCCTTAAGTCGGGGAGCAAAAGGGGGTAAAAAACAAAAGTGAGAGGTCAAAAACAAAACAGAGAAGAAAACCTCCTTAAGCGAAAGTGGGAGGTAAAAAATTAGAGAAGAAATGAACTCCCGGAGCGGAAGGGGAAGACCAGAGAAAAACAAATCTGCCATGGTGGAAACTTGCTATGGCGGAGCTGCAAATCCCGCTATGACAGTTAATCCAAGACTCGCTACAATAGAAGCCATCATGGTGGAATGAGGCAACTATAAAACACGCCCAACGGGAAAATAAGATATTGCACATCTCAGATAATTGGGTTGAGAAAGCCAACTCACACCGTCATTAGCCACGAAGTCCCTGGCATAAGTTAGCCATAAGACTTGGCTACCAACTCGACGGCTAAGCACAATGGCGAAAGGTGCTCGAAACGCGTGAATTGTGAAGCTCGATAAAACCAACGAAGCTAGATGACGTGCCATGAACCCCATGCCAGAGCCTAAAGCATGCCTTTCGAGGGGGGGGGCGGGGGCAAATGATAAGAAAAGCAATAGACCAAGCATTGCACTGCTAACTCATCTAGTCATGGACCACCACTTAGAATCGAGATGCGTGCAAGAGCTCATGCCACCCCCTCATGTGGTCGTCGATCAGAGTGTGAATCCTAGGGAAGTTGCATGAGTCGACCATCGATACATAGTGACCAAATCTATCCTCTCAGCTTCCCCCTCGATCGCATCACTGACCACCAATGACCTATCACCCTTATTGGGAAACCTAGGGTGAAATCATATGCGCAACAAAATAATATAAAACAAAAATATTAGATTTTCATTAAAAAAATAAGATTTCATCATCGTACGAAGATTGGTGCGAAAAAAACTACAAAACTAAAAAACCACACGTGTTAAGGGATATGTGTTATCTAGGGATATCGTATATCCCTGAAATCCTATAGATTTGTAGGAGAGGATGAAAGAGATCAACTGTCCTCCTCTCTAGTAGTAATCCACATAGCAGGGGCTATGAAGATGCTCCTCAAATCGTTGTACAAATCTCCTCTTCGCATGCACCACGCAATCAAGAAGGGGTTGACTCTTCTTATTGTGCACACACCATAAATAGAGGTTGTTAGCTGAGGAGAAGAGACGGTGAGAAGAATAAGAGGTGGTAGCTAAAAGGGATCTAGCCTATACCCTTTGGTTTCCTCATATTTATAAAGACCCTCTATCAACTTAACCCTAATGGATCTTGCTTTATTGGATATTGGATCTTCATCCAACTACCCAAGCCTCTTATATTAGTGGATCTCTACCCAATAATCTCTTACTAGCTCTTATTGGATCTCATCTATAGGATCTAATAATTCAAATGCTTATTGGACATCCAATAAGATAGGGGCTTTTGTAGATATCTCATATATGATCCTATACTCATCGCAACACCAACCATATGTGTGTGACCCTTTATGCCTAATATCGAGCTAGTCATGAGTCATATATGTCAGAACTCCTTCTAACTCAGTGAATTATTATCTCTATAATAATTCACTCGACTCATCGACTACGGATGTAATAGGTCACTATGCCATCCATTAAACCTATCTGTTTGCAATTACTATGTACATATAGTCCCTTATCCATCTAATATCCCAGAGATCACATTCAGGGTATGGTGTTATCAAGCTTATATAATTTTTACTCGAGTCTCGTCTTAACCGGATTCTCCCATAAATTTTTTCTCTCAATCCAAATGACCCTAGCTAGGGATTTGCTTAAACAAGGGCACATGGGATATTCCTCTTATAACACCGAGAGCGGATGATCCTCTATCGACACTCAATAGCTCTCGTAAGTTTAGCTACTACTTCCGATAACCGGTTGTGCTAGATCTGGAACTTCCAAACCTATAAATCTGGTATCAAAGAGTAAAGTACTCATACATGATATCATTGTTGTCTCGAGTCTAAAGACCATATACACTATTAGGATGACGGAATAGTTATTTAACAATGAGGTATCATCAACCATCCAGCATTCCATAAGCAAATCAATAAGTGAACTCATTCTTCAATGAGCACATACATTGTATCCCTAGTATCCCCACACGAACAGCTATGAGATTAGTCATCTCTATCATATAGATGAGTATAAAGTACACTAGTATATCTGGTTATCTCGATGTTCCTCTCAAATAACATATGACCGAGATTATTTATGATTTGTATTTAAAGACGAATCAGTCTTATTATTATGATTTTATCATGATTCGATTCTCATTATACAGATCCATGAATATCATAATACATGATACATGTCCTTAATGATCACATTGATTCCTATGACTTTATTGTTTGTTCACATAGTGGAGGGAGCTGGAGGGTGCCAATATTATCCATATCATATTCAAATCGAGCGCTCAATCCATTGACTCATAAAATACCATTGTTAACACCAATCATTATCTGCACTAACTATTATGGAGGAAAATATAATGGGATTCAAATCTTCGATATGGACCATCTGATTCTGATAAAAAAAAATTCTCTCTTATTTTTTTTCTTTGTGCCTTAATATAAGAAAAGTACATTTCACTCTTAGAAATAAGCAACTATTATTTTTCTCTTTATATTTAAATATCATAATGACCTAATCCAAAATTATATATAGTTTCTTGAAAAAAATTTATTTTTATTTTTTTTCTCAAAATGTGCCTTTTTTTTTTCTTAAATGGTACTCTATTTGAATAATACCAAAAATAATCCTCACCAACCCTAATAAGATGAAGAAACGCAAGAAAGCAAGAGTCAGGGAATAGGTTAGGGCACAGATAAAGCTCTCTCTCAATTGTCCTCTTGTTGGGAAGAGTCAGGGAAGAGGTGCCAAAATGACCCCTCATCTCTTGTTGGGAGACAATTGTCCTCACCCGAATCTGCCTCAGGATAACGTAAGATCACTACCGCACTACCAAAACTATACCAACAGCAATGAGATTCGGGCCCATCCTTAATGAGTTGGTCTCTATAGCCCATTGCACGAGCCCCAAGGCCTAAGCAAATCTTCGCCAAGCGGGAAAAGCCTCACTGCAATTAGGGCGAACAAGCATAGAGCCTACTATGACAAACACACCCCATCAAAACCAAGTGCCCCATGCCTCGGCTAGGTGATGACTAAAAGCCACCACAGCAGATCAATACTCTTGCTATGGTAGTCGAGTCAAGACAAAACCAATAAAACCAGATGATGTGACAGGAAACCCATTTAAGAGCCTAAAACATGCCTTTCAAGGAGGGACAAACAATGGGGAAAGCAATAGCACATGTATTCCATGATTGATTCACCTAGTCATGGACCACCACTTGAAATCGAGATGCGTGCAAGTGCTTATGCCACCCCCTCACGTGGTTGTCGATTAGAGCGTGAACCCAGGGGAAGTCACATGAGTCAACCATCGATACATAGCAACCAAACTATTGGGAAATCTAGATAGAGCATCACATGCATAGTGGAATAATAGAAAATAAAAATCTTAAATTTTCCACATAAAAATGTTTTGTCATCGTGCGAAGATTAGTGCACAAAACCGAAAACGTAAAATGAAAACCACGTATGTCAAGGCAGATTGTTACATAGAGAGATTATATATTCCTGTAAAATCTCAAATCTATAGGAGTAAATGAAGGAGGTCAACTATCGTCATCTCTAGTGGTGATCCACATGGTAGATGCAGAGAAGATGCTCCTCAAATCGCTACATGATTTTTCTCTCCACATGCACCATGTGATTAAGAAGGAGCCAGCCCTTCTTGTTGTCCACACGCCCCAAACTAGGGTTATTAGCTGAAGAGGAGAGGAAGGGAGGAGTCTAAGAGATAGTAGCCAAAAAGGGTCTAGCCTATGCCTCTTTGTTTCCCTCTTATTTATAGTGATCCTTATCAACTTAACTCTAATGGATCCTATCATCTTGGGTAGTTGGATTATTGGATGGATAGATCTCTACCCAATAATCTCTTATTGGCTTTTATTGGATCTTATTTATAAAATAATTCAACGGCTTACTGGATATTTAATAAGATAGGAGCTCTGGCAGATATCTCATATTCGAACCTCTACTCGTTGCAACACCTACCATATGTGTATGACTCTCTAGGCCCAATATCGAGCTGGTTGTGAGTTGTATATGTCAAAACTCCTTCTGTCTTAATGAATTATTGTCTCCATAGTAATTCACTTGACTCATCGGCTATGAACGTACTAGGCCACTACGCCGTAGTCCCCAGACGATACAGGAGAATCCAATCCATTGGACTTGTTACTCCTTAGTTATCGTGTATTTATAGTCTCTCATCCATCTAATATCCTAGAAATTGTATATCGGGCATAGTGTTGTCAGATCCATACGGAATATACTCGAGTCTCGCTCTAGTCATATAGTCATATTCTCTTGGAGAATACCTTTTCTTTCAATCCAAATGATCCTTGGCCAGGGATTTGCCTGAGCAAGAACACATAAGATATTCTTCTCTAAGACCAATTGTCTCCATCATATGAATGAACTCATTCTCCAATGAGCACTTGTATTGTATCTCTAGTGTCCCCACATGAGTAACTCTAAGACCAATTATCTTCATCGTACGAATGAGCATACAACACACTAGCATGTCTAGTTATCTCGATGTTCTTGTCGAGTAACCTATAATCGGGATTATTTAGGGTTTGTGTTTAAAGACGAATCGATCTCATTATTGTTATATCTTCACGATTTGATTCTCATTGCATAGATCCATGAACATCACAATATATACAACAAGCAATATAGAGTGAGAAAAATACCAATAAGTAATAATAAGAAAAAAAAAGTGTGTAGCGTGTCACACGTGTCATCACTCATGTGATTGACTTGCACAACACTTATGACTAGCATAAACTCGTCCTCTTAACTTCCCCTCGATTGTATCACTGGCAGCCAACGACCCATCACCCTCAGACTTAACTTTGGAAGGGCTCACATGCTTAATCGTAGGGAACATTAATCCTAGACGACATGGCCTAGCTCTCCTCTCCGAGCTCTTAATACTAACCCACATCCCTTGTCCATTTCGAGTGCACCCCTACCTTGACAAACGACGCGCCCCCAATCATCCATCCTTGATACAACCGACAGTAAGATGTTCGCTAGTTATCGACATAAATGAGCTATTAATGATACGAGAGGCTTGAGAGAGGATGAGCGGCTAGCCCCCCTCTACCGACAAATCAGGTATAAAAGTCAGCCCTCGAAACCAACCGGGGTAAGCAGGCTCATCCTAAACTCTTCTGAGCACTACTAAACCCTCTCCACCTACTCTATTGACTTAGGCGTCGGAGGGGTCAGGTCAGGATACTTCCTAAGATTGACTGTTTGTGTAGGACACCGACACATCTAAGGAGTAACTTAGGGTGATGCAGAGTGTTTCCCGACAAAGCCAAGGTGCCTCTCGGGATGACCATGAGTCGGTCTCCATGAGCCAACAACGCTTCAGGAGACACCTGTCACCCCAGCCTCCCACACGAATCACACCCACATAATCCGTATGAGTTTCTCATATGGGTCCACGTCTTTAGAATAAAACTAGGCCGTGTTAACTATCTGGTCAATGGCACCAAGGCACCAACACAAATCATGTAACCGTATATAAAACTAGTATTCTTCAATAATATTACAGAGATGTTACAGTGTTCAATGTTCTTATTATTCAGATAGATGATGACTTATTCCAGACGTATAATATTGGAACTTCTCATTGTCGCAATGCAATATGCTTTCAATCCTAGCCTTCGAAGAGGTATGGGAAAGGAAACAAATAGTGGACTGCTGATATCAGAATCAACATCATAATATACAACACACAGGAATCCAAACAATTTTAAGCTTTTACTGAAGCATGTAAACTGCGATGGAGATTGGGAGCAGAGATGATAGAAGTGACATCAAGTTCATCTTGCTGATGGACCATCTTTGTCTGATATGCTTGCACATTCGATCTCAAACGGACTGATCCGGTGCATCTCACCATGTTCTTTAAGTAGTTTCAGAGTGTTTCTGCCTTCGAGTTGGGTCTCATCAAGATTACTCTGCAGTGCCAACCTCTCTTTCAGCTGCATCACCACCTCCGTCATCGTCGGCCTCTTGGTGGAGGATTGCATGGAACAGTTGAGAGCTACGTAGGCAATCTTCCAAGCACAATTCACATCATACTCACCTTGCAGGCTTTTGTCGACGACGTCCTCTACGTTCCCTTTCGCAAGCCTTTCGTAAACCCATTCAACTATGTGAATATTTTCTGAACCAATTAGTATGGGAGGTTGGCCTGTGATCAGTTCCAGGAGAACCACCCCAAAGCTGTACACATCACTCTTCTCGCTGAGTTGGTTCTTCACGTAGTACCTTGAAAGTCACAGAATATGAAATGCCATTGATCTTATGCTCTTAACTTGGTCGTGTAAGAAGATTGCAGGAATGGAAGACATGACATACTCTGGATCAAGGTATCCCGGGGTGCCGACGACCTTGGTTGATACATGGCTATGGTCTTCATTTTCAAAAGCCTTGGACAGTCCAAAATCCGATATCTTGGCCTCTAATCTTTCGTTCAAGAGGATGTTTGCAGTCTTGACATCTCTATGGATCAGTGAAGGCTTGCATCCGGTGTGCAAATACTCCAGCCCTACACATCATTCAAATCCATGAATGCATAATGAAAGCAAATCAACATCTCTCTCTCTCTCTCTCGCTCTCTCTCTCTCTCTCTCTCTCTCTCTCTCTCTCTCTCTCTCTCTCTCTCTCTCTCTCTCTCTCTCTCTCTGTGCATGTTAAGGAATGTGCAGAGAAACTGTATTTGATTCAAACCTTGTGAAGCTTCAAGGGCAATTCGGAGTCTCTGTTCCCAACTCAAAGGTCTATCGCCGCGAGACTCTGCTAAAACGACACGACGAGTTGTCAGTGATTCCACTGAAAGATCAATCCAAGAATGCATGTCATAGATGAGGATGTGTGTACAAACAGAGTAGTAATGTGGCATAAAGCGGAGTGTGTAGGTAGAACCTCTAAGATGCTCTTTGAGAGTTCCCTGAGACATGTACTCATAGACCAACGCCAGGTGCTCTCCATCAATGCAGTAGCCGATCATAGAAACCAGATTCCTGTGATGCACCCTCGACAAATGCTGGGCCTGCAACGCAGTGGGATCAACAAGATGCCGAGCATGATCGAAGCTGGAAGGCGACAGATTACCACCTCGGTAACAAACTC